AAAATGGTTGCAGCAGGATATTCACAGGGAACTTCCAGAAATGCAAGCTGGATTCAGAAGAGGATGTGGAATGAGGGATATCATTGCTGATGTCAGGTAGATCTTGGCTAAAAGCAAGGAATACCAGAAATATGTTTACTCGTATTTTATTGACTATGCAAAAGCACTTGATTTTGTGGATCATAACAAACTATGGGTAACATTGAGAATAATGGGAATGCCAGAACACTTGAATGTGTTCCTCAGGAGCCTTTACTTAGAACGGGAGGCTGTCGTTCAAACAGAATAAAGGAATATTGCATGGTTTAAAATCCGGAAGGGAGTGCATCAGGGTTTATCCTTCCACCATAGTTACTCATTCTGTTTGCTGAGCAAATAAGCTGAGAAACTGGACTATGAGAAGGAAAATGCAGCACAGGATTGGAGGAAGACTCATTAACAATCTGCCATATACAGATGACATATCCTTGCTTGCTGAAAGTGAAGATGACTTGAAGCACTTACTGATGAAATTCAAAACTCCAGTCTGCAGTATGGATACACATCAACATGAAGAAAATTAATATCCTCCCAGCTGGACCAATAAGCAGCATTGCAATAAAGGGAGAAAAGATGGAAGTTTTCAAAGATTTCATGTTACTTGGTTCCATAGTGAACATCCATGGAAGCAGTAGTCAAGAAATCACATGATATATTGCCTTGGGCAAAACTGCTGCAAAAGACCACTTTCAAGTGTTGGAGAGCAAAGATGTTATTTGAGGACTAAAGTGTGCCTGACCCAAGCCATGTGTTTTCAGTCACCACATATGCCTGTGAAAGCTGTACAATGAATAAGGAAGACTGAAGAAGAGTTGATGCTTTTGAGTTGTGGTGTTAGCAAAGAATACTGAAAGCATCATAGATGGCCACAAAAGCTAAGAGCTGCATCATGGAAGAAGTGCAGCTGGAAAGCTCCTAGGAAGCAAAAATGGCTAGACTTTGTCTCAGCTATTTTGGTCATGTTGTCATAAGGTATCATTCCCTGGAAAAGGATATCATGCTGGGTAAAGTGGAGGGTCAGCAAAGAAAGGGAAGGCCCTCAAGGAGATATATTTACAAAGTGGCTGCCAACTATGGACTCAAGTATAGTAAGGATTGTGAGGCTGATGCAGGACTGGGCCATGGTTCGTTCTGTCGTACATAGGGTCACTATGAATCAGAACTGACCTGACAGCACCTAACAATGACCACATTTGCCTGAAAGTTGAGCCATAGGGATGAATTCAGTTTACAGGGTATCTGGGGGCAAAAGTCTTGGGAGTTTCACTGGCCTCTGTCAGACCAGTACATCAGAAAACCAAATTCATGGCCATCAAGTTGATTTCAATTCATAATGACCCCAATTGGTTGCCAAGGCTGTACATATTCATCAGAGCAGACTGCCCGATCTTTTATCCACAGAGCAGTTGGTAAATTTGAACCACAAACCCTTTGGTTAACGAAAGATTCCTTAACAACTATATCACGAGAACTCCATTCAAGTCATTAAGCCTAGTCTTTTTTTATGATTTTGAATTATGTTTCACAAATTTTCCTCACTCTCACCAGGACCTCCTATTGTAATTTCATTTGAAGCAGAAAGTATGAGATAATTATATACACACAGACAAACACACACAGACAGCCTTTTGATTGTATTACTATTTAGGTTTTTCTTTGTTTTCAAAGAAAATTCTGATATGTCATTTTCTTGAGTGCCAACTAAAGTCTTTTTTGTTTTACTTAGGTTACTAATAGTCATGGAAAAGAAGAAGAGCTATTGCATAAAATCCACATGTTGCAAGATGAAATTGACATGCTAAAACTGGAAGTAAATACATTAAAAAACCAGAACCAAGAAAAAGAAAAAAATATATTCGAGGACATTTCAGTGGTAAAAGAAAAAAATGATGATCTTCAAAAGGCAATCAAAGAGAATGAGAAAATTCTAACAGAAACCGTATCTCAATATTGTGGAAAGCTTAATGTTCTGAGAACTGAGAATGCAATGCTAATGGAAAAAAAAATGATGATCTTCAAAAGACAATCAGACAGAATGAGAAAATTCTAACAGAAACCATATCTCAGTATTGTGGAAAGGTTAAAGTTCTGAGAACTGAGAATGCAATGCTAACACAAGAAAATGATGATTTTCAAAAGACAATCAGACAGAATGAAAAAATTCTAACAGAAACTGTATCTCAGTATTGTGGAAAGTTTAAAGTTCTGAGAACTGAGAATGCAAAAAGAAGAAAATGATGATCTTCAAAAGACAATCAGAATGAGAAAATTCTAACAGAGACAGTATCTCAGTCTGGTGGACTGCTTAATGTTCTGACAAATGAGAATATAATGCTAACCTCTAAATTGGAGAATGAAAAACAAAACAAAGAAAGACTGGAAACTGAAGTTGAATCATACCTATGTAGGCTGACTGCTGCTACATGTGATCATGATCAAAGTCAGGTACCAAAAAGAAACATAGAATTTTATTTGCAGAGAGCAAGAGATGAGTGCTTTCATTTACAGGACAAAATGAGTTTTGATTTGTCTACCCTAAGAGATAACAACACGACTCTAACCGAACAGCTGTCCAGCGCTGAAAGCAATTTCAGTAGCCATGAAACTGAGTTACATCATGCTATAGATGCTCTAAGAGAAAAGATGTTGATTTTAGAACCCTTTAAGAGAGACCTAAGCCAAACACAGGGTCATGTGAAGGAAATGTGTCAATACTTACAAGATAAAGTAAATACACTCAATGGAAAACTAGAGTCCCTAGAGAAAAGATCATCCCAACTAGAAAGTGAAAATATGTTGCTTCGACAACTACTGGATGATGCATACATCAAAGTTGACATTAAAGAAAAGATGGTAATTGATATGCAAGGCCAATTGCATGATATTGTAAAAAAGCTTCAAGGTGAAAGTGAAAAACAAAGACTTAAGCTTGAATAGAGAAATAAGGAGTTAATGAGTGAATATAATCATTTAAAAGGACAGATGGAAAAGTATGAAAATGAGAAAGTAGAAAGAGAAGTAAGTATGGAGAAATAGAAGTGTTTTTCAAAGTTCCTGAAAA